CATCCTGAAACAACTTTTGTACAGTGAAAATGATGGCTCCCACCAGTGTGCAGAATGATGCTCAGCACGAGCTGTATCTGAGATCTGGAATATATTCATGGTTGGCCATCTTTTCTTCTTTTCTAAGAGAGATTTTTTCCTATAGGGCACATGCACTTGCGGGAGAGAAAGAGAAAGTGAAAAATCAATGCCCAGGAGGAAGGCCATGCCACAATCCCTTTTCCTCCATTTTCCTCTTGGGATCGTAGGCACGCACGCACAAGCGGCCAGTGTGAGTTTAAGCCATCGGGTCCGGTACTCAAACCACAGTTGACTACATAGGAGAGTTCAGAGATATAGCCATTACACGAACTGCTAGTCCCAAGAAAAACTTTTAGTATAAATATATGCCAAGATGTACTGAATATATTATTCAAAAGCACTGAATATGTGTGAAGTGCTTGAGTTCTTGGGAATGAGAGGAAGAATTAAGAGAAAATTAACTTATTTAATTAATTTATTAATGAAATTAATTAATTTATTGTAGATTTCTATCAAACTTTACAAGGAGGAAGTGAACAATGATGTGACTGAAAGCAACTGGAATTGTAGAGGTGAAGAACTCACCATGATCTTGTCACTGTCGATGATGGTGTTTAATCTGTGCGCGATGGTCAACACGGTGCACTGGGCAAATTTCTCCCGGATTTTTTTTTGTATTAACTCATCAGTTCTAGAATCAAAACAGGTAAATTGAATTCTTAAAAGTAGGTTAGGACTTAAGATCATGTCATTTAAAAACATCAGTATTTAGACATGGTCTTGTTCTTATAAAACTAAAAATAGAAAGTCTATAGAGAAATTTACTATTTTTCATAAAACGATGGTAAATATCCACCCCTTATCACCTCCTATTATTTGAAATTATCAGGAGTAGAAATTAGGAATTGAGCTCTCCTTGGAAGCCTATATCATAAACTCTGGAAAACATGTTTTAATGTTTTACAGGTTTCGAGAATTAGGGTTAGCAAGAACTATCTTTGGGGTACGCAGCACTTAGAAACACTTTTCAGCCTCATTAAATGTTTCTCACTTATCAATCATTTAAAATTAGGATTTGATGTTACATGGGCCTCAGTTCTGTACCTTGGATCCACATTTGCAGTTGCTTCATCAATAATCAAAATCCGATTTTTCCTGAGAATTGCTCTGGCAAGGCACACCAACTGTCTCTGTCCAACACTAAAATTGGATCCTGATTCTGCTAATTCAGTATCCATTTTACCAGGAAGATCTTCAATGGCTTCTTTAAGCTGTACCTGTAGGTGTAGAAAGGCATTTTTCCAAATGAACTACTACTCTAGCGGACATGCCTCTTAGAAAAACCTATCTTCATGAAATTGTAGCTATAAGATGACCTCAGCCAATGCTGCATGATGGTTCAGTTCAACAAGTATGTGCTTTGGAGAAATTTTGTAGAACAAGAGCCAAGAGCCACATTCAGGCTACATTCAAGAGCTGTAGAAGAATGAAGCATCAATACATCTCAAGTGAAGAGATCAGTAGATGGATGAGTGATGGTCGATTAGCAGGTACACAGAATTACAACGTCAAATAATAATAAAACAAGTAAATACGCAACATTTTCATAGTTCTCTAAATGCTGAAGCACTCCATGAATGTGACCTTGAGTTGTGCTCATGGTGAAAACCCAGGACTTCTGAATTAGAATGAAATACAATATGGGTATTTATTAATGTTTGCATAAAAATAGAAAAATAAACAAAATCTGAAGTGTAAAATTTAGATCACGGTGTAAGACCCTGTGCTAAAAATTTTAAATGGAGGGCATCAGTGTTGCCAAGCTCCCTATCTTTTTTAGGAACCATATTTATACGTCTATAACTCAGGGGATGAACTGGGCACAAAGTTTTTATCAGCTTTCCCTCTGAGAAACTGTGGTAATACTGCTCTCCAAGATGGGGTTTCTTGTTCTTTCTTTCTTTCTTTCTTTTTTTTTTTTTTGAGAGGTTTTTGCTACAGGGCATGTGTGCTCGCCAGAAAGACAGAGAGATAAAAAGCAAGAAATCACCCTCCGGGGGGATGGCCACATCATAGTCTATTCTCCTCTCAGGATCTTGGGTATGCATGCACAAGCGGCCGGCATGAGTTTAAGCCACCAGGTCCAGGACTTAAACTGCAGTGGAGTATATGGGAGTCCAGTGACATAGTCATTATGCCAACTGCTGGTCCCAAGATGGGTCTTTCTGAAAACTGATGGCCAGCTTTTGAAGAAATACTCTCACACTTGCCCCGGACAAAGGTGACATCTCATCTAGTTTATTTCTCCCACCTCTTTATGGAAAGAGAAGACAGAAAAAGGAATGGAAGGAAAAGAAGAGGGAAGGAGGAAGAGAGATGGATTTTAAACAGAGGCTCACCATACCAAGCCTTGCAATTAGCTAAGATTACAGGTGCATACAACCACAACTTGTGTGTTCAGGTTGGCTGAGGAGCTCAAGCTGGGGCTCCCATATGGCTTCCAGCTTCCCAAGTGGTGATGCTAGCTATATATCACTGTGGCTGAACCTCATCTGGTTTTTACCCTCTTTAAGGTTGTCCTTAACTACTTGAAGAAGAATAGGAGTTGCAAAATAAAGAAAAATGACCATGTTGTCCAAAAACATATTTTTTCCTGAGACTGTCTCTTCTTCATTTATGAGTGAGGGATAGTCAGGAGAATCATATGGATGTATAGGCCCCCTGTAGTATCATAATAGATTTAGGTTATAATAAAGTCTATGCCTGCAGAAAAGGACAATAGAGGCAGTAGAACACAGTGACTGAGAGTGACAAGGAAATTTGAAAAGATATTAATATTATATTAGATAATAGCATGATACTACTATTAAGTTCTTAAGTGAAACAATTATGTTATATAGAAAAAGGTATCTGCAGGAGGTTCTTATTTACACATTTAAGGGTGAATTACAACATAAGGAAAATTTCTGCAACATACCTTCAATATTGCTCAGCAAAATACAGACAGAATATACAGGAGAGAAAACAAATGTGGTGAAATATTAAGAACTGGTAAATTTGGGGACCAACAGCTGGCATAATGGCTATGTTGCTGGACTCCCATGTAGTCGACTGTGGTTCGAGAACCAGATTCGGTGACTTAAACTCACGCTGGGTATATGTGCGGGCGTGTCCAAGATTATGATGTGGCCATCCCTTCTGAGGAGTGATTTCTTGCTTTTTGTCTCTGTTTCTCTCTGTCTTTTTGGCAAGCACAGGCACCCCACAGCAAAAACCTCTTAAAAAAAAAAAAAACCAACTGGTGAATCTAGAAAAAGGATATGTGTATTTATCATACTACCATTTCAATTATTTTGTGATTTGAAATTTGTTTTAATTAAAAAACTGGGGCTTAGGCTAGCCCGCAACCCAGGGGTTAAAGTAACTGGTCTCACAAGACTGACTCTGACGTTCAAGCCCTGGACTCAGCAGCTCGAAAAACATGCCAGTTACATGTGGCATGTGCTTCAAATCAGCGAAGGGTGTTGAAATAGAGGAGGGACTATGGCATGACCATTTCCCATAGGGGTTCCTTTTCACTTTCCCCCTCTCTCTCTGTTGAATGGAAGTGTCCTGAGGAAAAATTAAAACACACAAACACACATGCACATACACACGTATGTATTTTCCTGAAGCCAAATGACCAGGTCTCTGTCTGACTGCTAATCAGGCAAGTTCCTGAAATTTCTCTAGCTTAGATTCCTAACCTATAAATAGGAGCATAATTTATTATAATAAAGATGTCTATCTGCTGTGTTGGAGCACCACGTGAGTCAGTGTATACAACATTTAGAACAGTGCTTCATACCAAGAGAATCTTTTTTTTAAGTTTTGCCATAGGGTGCTTGTGTTCAGACAGATAGCAAGAAAAGTGAGTAAGGCTGCAATGAATATAAAGAAAAAAAGAAGAAGAAAAGTGAGAAATCATCCCCCAGGGGAAAGGGTCACACGGCAATCCCTTATCCTCTATTCTCTTCCTGGAATTTTGAGCATGCACGAACAAGCACCTGGCATGATTTGCAATGTCATCCAACAACCTCCTGGCAGTTTAAATAAGAGGCTAAACTTTTTTAAAATTTGCTAGAAGGCATATGTGCGAGCTGGGGAAGAGGAATGGGGAGAAAGAGTGAAAGACCGCACCTGGGGGATGGTCATGCCACAACCCCTCTCCTCTATCTTCCCTTTTTGGGATTTTGGATAAGCACACATACATGTATTTTGCAAGCCACTGAGTCTAGGACTTAAACTGTGGAGTTAGACATGTGGGATTCAGTTGCCTTAACCACGATGCCACCAGCTAGTCTAAGGCTGAACTTCTGATTAAGGAAATCCAACATCCTGAAACAACTTTTGTACAGTGAAAATGATGGCTCCCACCAGTGTGCAGAATGATGCTCAGCACGAGCTGTATCTGAGATCTGGAATATATTCATGGTTGGCCATCTTTTCTTCTTTTCTAAGAGAGATTTTTTCCTATAGGGCACATGCACTTGCGGGAGAGAAAGAGAAAGTGAAAAATCAATGCCCAGGAGGAAGGCCATGCCACAATCCCTTTTCCTCCATTTTCCTCTTGGGATCGTAGGCACGCACGCACAAGCGGCCAGTGTGAGTTTAAGCCATCGGGTCCGGTACTCAAACCACAGTTGACTACATAGGAGAGTTCAGAGATATAGCCATTACACGAACTGCTAGTCCCAAGAAAAACTTTTAGTATAAATATATGCCAAGATGTACTGAATATATTATTCAAAAGCACTGAATATGTGTGAAGTGCTTGAGTTCTTGGGAATGAGAGGAAGAATTAAGAGAAAATTAACTTATTTAATTAATTTATTAATGAAATTAATTAATTTATTGTAGATTTCTATCAAACTTTACAAGGAGGAAGTGAACAATGATGTGACTGAAAGCAACTGGAATTGTAGAGGTGAAGAACTCACCATGATCTTGTCACTGTCGATGATGGTGTTTAATCTGTGCGCGATGGTCAACACGGTGCACTGGGCAAATTTCTCCCGGATTTTTTTTTGTATTAACTCATCAGTTCTAGAATCAAAACAGGTAAATTGAATTCTTAAAAGTAGGTTAGGACTTAAGATCATGTCATTTAAAAACATCAGTATTTAGACATGGTCTTGTTCTTATAAAACTAAAAATAGAAAGTCTATAGAGAAATTTACTATTTTTCATAAAACGATGGTAAATATCCACCCCTTATCACCTCCTATTATTTGAAATTATCAGGAGTAGAAATTAGGAATTGAGCTCTCCTTGGAAGCCTATATCATAAACTCTGGAAAACATGTTTTAATGTTTTACAGGTTTCGAGAATTAGGGTTAGCAAGAACTATCTTTGGGGTACGCAGCACTTAGAAACACTTTTCAGCCTCATTAAATGTTTCTCACTTATCAATCATTTAAAATTAGGATTTGATGTTACATGGGCCTCAGTTCTGTACCTTGGATCCACATTTGCAGTTGCTTCATCAATAATCAAAATCCGATTTTTCCTGAGAATTGCTCTGGCAAGGCACACCAACTGTCTCTGTCCAACACTAAAATTGGATCCTGATTCTGCTAATTCAGTATCCATTTTACCAGGAAGATCTTCAATGGCTTCTTTAAGCTGTACCTGTAGGTGTAGAAAGGCATTTTTCCAAATGAACTACTACTCTAGCGGACATGCCTCTTAGAAAAACCTATCTTCATGAAATTGTAGCTATAAGATGACCTCAGCCAATGCTGCATGATGGTTCAGTTCAACAAGTATGTGCTTTGGAGAAATTTTGTAGAACAAGAGCCAAGAGCCACATTCAGGCTACATTCAAGAGCTGTAGAAGAATGAAGCATCAATACATCTCAAGTGAAGAGATCAGTAGATGGATGAGTGATGGTCGATTAGCAGGTACACAGAATTACAACGTCAAATAATAATAAAACAAGTAAATACGCAACATTTTCATAGTTCTCTAAATGCTGAAGCACTCCATGAATGTGACCTTGAGTTGTGCTCATGGTGAAAACCCAGGACTTCTGAATTAGAATGAAATACAATATGGGTATTTATTAATGTTTGCATAAAAATAGAAAAATAAACAAAATCTGAAGTGTAAAATTTAGATCACGGTGTAAGACCCTGTGCTAAAAATTTTAAATGGAGGGCATCAGTGTTGCCAAGCTCCCTATCTTTTTTAGGAACCATATTTATACGTCTATAACTCAGGGGATGAACTGGGCACAAAGTTTTTATCAGCTTTCCCTCTGAGAAACTGTGGTAATACTGCTCTCCAAGATGGGGTTTCTTGTTCTTTCTTTCTTTCTTTCTTTTTTTTTTTTTTGAGAGGTTTTTGCTACAGGGCATGTGTGCTCGCCAGAAAGACAGAGAGATAAAAAGCAAGAAATCACCCTCCGGGGGGATGGCCACATCATAGTCTATTCTCCTCTCAGGATCTTGGGTATGCATGCACAAGCGGCCGGCATGAGTTTAAGCCACCAGGTCCAGGACTTAAACTGCAGTGGAGTATATGGGAGTCCAGTGACATAGTGAAATTTACTATTTTTCATAAAACGATGGTAAATATCCACCCCTTATCACCTCCTATTATTTGAAATTATCAGGAGTAGAAATTAGGAATTGAGCTCTCCTTGGAAGCCTATATCATAAACTCTGGAAAACATGTTTTAATGTTTTACAGGTTTCGAGAATTAGGGTTAGCAAGAACTATCTTTGGGGTACGCAGCACTTAGAAACACTTTTCAGCCTCATTAAATGTTTCTCACTTATCAATCATTTAAAATTAGGATTTGATGTTACATGGGCCTCAGTTCTGTACCTTGGATCCACATTTGCAGTTGCTTCATCAATAATCAAAATCCGATTTTTCCTGAGAATTGCTCTGGCAAGGCACACCAACTGTCTCTGTCCAACACTAAAATTGGATCCTGATTCTGCTAATTCAGTATCCATTTTACCAGGAAGATCTTCAATGGCTTCTTTAAGCTGTACCTGTAGGTGTAGAAAGGCATTTTTCCAAATGAACTACTACTCTAGCGGACATGCCTCTTAGAAAAACCTATCTTCATGAAATTGTAGCTATAAGATGACCTCAGCCAATGCTGCATGATGGTTCAGTTCAACAAGTATGTGCTTTGGAGAAATTTTGTAGAACAAGAGCCAAGAGCCACATTCAGGCTACATTCAAGAGCTGTAGAAGAATGAAGCATCAATACATCTCAAGTGAAGAGATCAGTAGATGGATGAGTGATGGTCGATTAGCAGGTACACAGAATTACAACGTCAAATAATAATAAAACAAGTAAATACGCAACATTTTCATAGTTCTCTAAATGCTGAAGCACTCCATGAATGTGACCTTGAGTTGTGCTCATGGTGAAAACCCAGGACTTCTGAATTAGAATGAAATACAATATGGGTATTTATTAATGTTTGCATAAAAATAGAAAAATAAACAAAATCTGAAGTGTAAAATTTAGATCACGGTGTAAGACCCTGTGCTAAAAATTTTAAATGGAGGGCATCAGTGTTGCCAAGCTCCCTATCTTTTTTAGGAACCATATTTATACGTCTATAACTCAGGGGATGAACTGGGCACAAAGTTTTTATCAGCTTTCCCTCTGAGAAACTGTGGTAATACTGCTCTCCAAGATGGGGTTTCTTGTTCTTTCTTTCTTTCTTTCTTTTTTTTTTTTTTGAGAGGTTTTTGCTACAGGGCATGTGTGCTCGCCAGAAAGACAGAGAGATAAAAAGCAAGAAATCACCCTCCGGGGGGATGGCCACATCATAGTCTATTCTCCTCTCAGGATCTTGGGTATGCATGCACAAGCGGCCGGCATGAGTTTAAGCCACCAGGTCCAGGACTTAAACTGCAGTGGAGTATATGGGAGTCCAGTGACATAGTCATTATGCCAACTGCTGGTCCCAAGATGGGTCTTTCTGAAAACTGATGGCCAGCTTTTGAAGAAATACTCTCACACTTGCCCCGGACAAAGGTGACATCTCATCTAGTTTATTTCTCCCACCTCTTTATGGAAAGAGAAGACAGAAAAAGGAATGGAAGGAAAAGAAGAGGGAAGGAGGAAGAGAGATGGATTTTAAACAGAGGCTCACCATACCAAGCCTTGCAATTAGCTAAGATTACAGGTGCATACAACCACAACTTGTGTGTTCAGGTTGGCTGAGGAGCTCAAGCTGGGGCTCCCATATGGCTTCCAGCTTCCCAAGTGGTGATGCTAGCTATATATCACTGTGGCTGAACCTCATCTGGTTTTTACCCTCTTTAAGGTTGTCCTTAACTACTTGAAGAAGAATAGGAGTTGCAAAATAAAGAAAAATGACCATGTTGTCCAAAAACATATTTTTTCCTGAGACTGTCTCTTCTTCATTTATGAGTGAGGGATAGTCAGGAGAATCATATGGATGTATAGGCCCCCTGTAGTATCATAATAGATTTAGGTTATAATAAAGTCTATGCCTGCAGAAAAGGACAATAGAGGCAGTAGAACACAGTGACTGAGAGTGACAAGGAAATTTGAAAAGATATTAATATTATATTAGATAATAGCATGATACTACTATTAAGTTCTTAAGTGAAACAATTATGTTATATAGAAAAAGGTATCTGCAGGAGGTTCTTATTTACACATTTAAGGGTGAATTACAACATAAGGAAAATTTCTGCAACATACCTTCAATATTGCTCAGCAAAATACAGACAGAATATACAGGAGAGAAAACAAATGTGGTGAAATATTAAGAACTGGTAAATTTGGGGACCAACAGCTGGCATAATGGCTATGTTGCTGGACTCCCATGTAGTCGACTGTGGTTCGAGAACCAGATTCGGTGACTTAAACTCACGCTGGCTATATGTGCGGGCGTGTCCAAGATTATGATGTGGCCATCCCTTCTGAGGAGTGATTTCTTGCTTTTTGTCTCTGTTTCTCTCTGTCTTTTTGGCAAGCACAGGCACCCCACAGCAAAAACCTCTTAAAAAAAAAAAAAACCAACTGGTGAATCTAGAAAAAGGATATGTGTATTTATCATACTACCATTTCAATTATTTTGTGATTTGAAATTTGTTTTAATTAAAAAACTGGGGCTTAGGCTAGCCCGCAACCCAGGGGTTAAAGTAACTGGTCTCACAAGACTGACTCTGACGTTCAAGCCCTGGACTCAGCAGCTCGAAAAACATGCCAGTTACATGTGGCATGTGCTTCAAATCAGCGAAGGGTGTTGAAATAGAGGAGGGACTATGGCATGACCATTTCCCATAGGGGTTCCTTTTCACTTTCCCCCTCTCTCTCTGTTGAATGGAAGTGTCCTGAGGAAAAATTAAAACACACAAACACACATGCACATACACACGTATGTATTTTCCTGAAGCCAAATGACCAGGTCTCTGTCTGACTGCTAATCAGGCAAGTTCCTGAAATTTCTCTAGCTTAGATTCCTAACCTATAAATAGGAGCATAATTTATTATAATAAAGATGTCTATCTGCTGTGTTGGAGCACCACGTGAGTCAGTGTATACAACATTTAGAACAGTGCTTCATACCAAGAGATCAATAGATACTGCCGATTCACAACAATGCTGTCAGCGAGCACTCTGTGGTACGCTTCATTTTCCGTCACGGCATTTCCCAGTACTTAATGTGCTACTGCATATGCATTTGCTTATGGTCCATCTTCCCGACAAAAATCTCAGTTTCAAGAGGGTGGAGACTTCATCTCTCCTAATGACTGTTGTAACCCTGCCTATGTAAAAAAGCTGTCCGTACGTATTTCCTGAATGTTTATAGGAAGCCACAAGCCACAAGTACATCTTACTTTGTGACATGTCTGTTCCTAGAAAGCAGAAAATAAATCCATAGAGATACATACTTATAGGAAATACCATTTTCTTATTAAATGACATTGTAAAAGAAATACATTCCTTATAAAACATTGGCTCCCAAATATTATAATACTATACTTAAAAATGTGGAAAGTATTAAAAAAATTTTTTTGGAAAAAATGACCAAACAATAGTATTGAAAAATGTATATCCCAATATAGATTAACTCTGATTTTTTTTTTTAATTTGCTATAGGATATGTGCACTGACCAGAGAGAAACAGAGAGAGAGAGAGAAAGCAAGAAAGCACCCCAGGGAGGATGGCCACAACACAATCCTTTCTCCTCTTGGGATTTTGGTACCCACGAACCCAGCAAGTTTTTCCAGCCACTAGGTCCAAGATTCAAACTACACTACTGGCTGTGTGGAACTGAGCCACCTCAATCACCATGCCATTGGCTGGTTCGAAAATATTTCTAAGCTTAAAAAATGCCAAACTATAACAAAACTGAAACTGAGTAAGACACCTGATTTCTATCATCATACACATTTTCTTTGTATTTTTTTCCTTTTCTTTCTTTATTTAAAATTTTAAGTTCTAGAGGGTAAATGTGCTCATCAGAGAGGGAGAGGAAGGAGGCACACACACCCCCCCACACAATGAGGTGTGGTCATGCTGCAATCCCTTCTCCCCCATCACCATTCTGTGTGAACTCCAGGCACGGATGCACCTAGTGTGTTCCTTGGCTAGTGGCCAGGACTAGGACTTGAACAGCAGTCGGCGGGTAGGATCTCATTCCTTATACCACAACGCCATGGGGCTGGCCCATAAATATTTTCAAAGTAACCTATTTACTATATGCACTTATCCACCGGATGCCAGAGCCCCTCATAGGATATTAACATGGTGTCAGATAATGTTTCCATGTTTTGTGGAAATTTCTGACTCCCCCCCCCCGAAAACAAACAAACAAACCAAAAAACCCAAAACAATAAAAACAACCAAAAAACAAGTAATAACATCTTCTCTGGAAGAGAAGAGAGATGAAATGTAATCAACGTCCATCAAGGGATGGGGATGAGCTTTTACTAGAACATAGTCAACAGTAAATGCTTGGCCGTTGGAAAGGGAAATGTAATGTGTAAGGAAGAAGCAAACACCTGAGAATGAGTTTCCTCCTCATGTCAGAGTTCTGTATCGTGAGCTCCTGTGTGACAAGGCACACTTGAATCCTAATAGAGATACTATCGATGTTGCGCATAATGGGAAGATTTCCTCACCGTTCTGACATGACATACCATACTCTTCTCAATTGCATATCCCAATACTAACAGAGTTTCTTTTAACCAAGGAACATGCTGATGATTCATCTTGCGAGTTTTACCTACTGTGATCTCTTGACCTTTGTCTGATACACCACTTCAATCCTGAGTCATTACTTTGTTATAGACTTGCCATTACTTCTGGCAACTAATTCGAGTCAACTGGCAATAATTCTAGTAAACTTCCTTCAGTGACTCTTTTAGTATAAGGGGAAACTTGCAGCACATTAAAAATAAATTTTAAAAAATTAGATGAGATGGGCAACATCCATAGGCCTGTCTCTATTTTTCAAGGTTAAACCTATTTTTTCACTTCTGTTATTATTCTATCCAAGGGAAAAGAAAGAGGAAGAAATAAAGAAAAAAAAAGTAAAAAAAAGAAAAGAAAAATAATCTTTACATTTGAAGTGGTTAAAGAAGAAATTTAAAAAACACTTTTTACTTTTTGCTTTAGTTTGCTATAGGGTGCTTGCACTCTCCAAAGACACAAAGAGACAGAAAGAGAGAGAAAGTAAAAGCACCCCTCCGGGGTCGGGGCGTTAAAAACCATTCCCCAATCCCTACTCCTCTCAGAAATCTTTTGGGCACGCACACAAGTATGCTTAGCTTATTTTTCAAGCCACTGGATCTGGGACTACACTGTGCAGTCAGCCATGTGGGATTTAGTTATCTTAACCACCATGTCACCCACCGGCTGACCCAGGAACAGCACCTTCTTGTTCTTTTTTGAGAGATTTTTGTTATAGGGTGTGTGCGCTCACAGACAGACAGCGAGATATAGAGATAGAAAGTGAGCAATCACCCCCCAGGGGGATAGCTATGCCACAATTCCTTCTCCTCCATTCTCCTCTTAGGATCTTGGGCACATACATACATGCGCCCGGTGTGAGTTTAAGCCACCAGGTCCGGGACTCGAACCGCGGTTGACTACATGGGAGTCCAGTGACACAGCCATTACATCAACTGCTGGTCCCGAACAGCACCTTCTTAATGAAGGTCAAGTGTACCGTCGAGTTTGGGCTCCCACTTCCTTTTGAGCATCGTTTGTTTCTAAGACAAGTGACTAGGGGTTTTAGTCACTTTGAAAGGAGCTGGCAAGGACACTAGGCCCACTAAGGAGCAGAATGGCTCACACTGCTCTAGTTTAGATAGAAGAAAGCTGCAGAGACAGCAGACAGATCGTGACAGGAATCAGAGGGACTGGAACAACACTGGAGTCATGGTGCTGAATTCTTTGCACAATGTCTTTTCAGATAAACAATCACACATAGCATCATGCACACAATCCTATAGAGAGGAGTTCGGACTTCATCATAAGATATCCTGAGTGGGACCAACAGATGGTGTAATGGTTACATTGCTGGACTCCCAAGTCGTTGACCGCAGATCAAGTCCCAGACCTGGTGACTTAAAATTCATGCATGTGTGTGCCCAAAATCCCAAGAGGAGAATGGAGAAGGTATTGCCAAGTGGCCATCATTCCTGGGGGATGAATTTTCACTTTCTGTCTCTCTCTGTCTTTCTGGTGGGCACATGTGCCCTATAGCAAAAATCTCTCTGTAAAAACAAACAAACAAACAAACAAACAAAAACCAAAAAAAACAAAAAACAAAACAAGGTACCCTGAGATTCCAAAGACTCTAAGGAAGAATCCCTGTCCTATCATGATGACATCCAATCCTGTAAACCCGGGGTCATGCATATCTAATTATTTGTTGGAAAATTCACAGTGCTTCCTCTGCTAGAAATTCAGTCTTTTACACTCATCCAGATAAGAAAAAAAAAAAATTGGGGAAATACAGAAAAATCAAAAAAGAAAAGAAAAATCTCCCTTTGTTTTATTATCATTAAACCAGCAATGTTAATATTTGGGAGTTTACTTATTTTTTTAATTAGTTTATTACATTTTATTTATTTATTTATTGAAATTTGACGGGGGTTGGGGGGGTGAGAAAACAAGCCATCAGGTCTGGGACTCAAACCCCGGTTGGCCATGTGGGAGTCCACCATGCCATCTGTCAGCCCTATTTCTTATTTTAAAATTTGCTATACGGCATGTGAGCTCACCAGAGAAAGAGAATGCAGTCGGTCAGGTCAAGGACTCAAACTGCAGTTGGCCATGTGGAAGTCCAGCACCTTAACCACCATGCCACCTGCTGGCCCCTTGGTGTCTTTCTTCAGTACAGGTTTTAGAATATGTTATGATTATGAATTGCTAGAACCATGCTGTGAACAACATAGTATACCTTAATTCTTAGAAACAATGTACAGAATGTGTCACTGAAAAATATGCAATATCATAAGGAAATAGTTCCTAGAAAAAGACAATGGAAGTATAATTTATCACTAAGACAGAGTTTCTAAAGCTCTGAGGCCAATTCCTGAAGCAGTACCTGAAAACGACTCCCTATACTTTCCAGTCAGAACTCTCAGTACACTCGCTCATTTCTATTTACAGGAAGCTCCATGTGTAGTTTAAATAAAAGGAGACTTTAGTATCACCTGCCGCTCTCATTCTTCCCTCATCATTTTTAGACTTCTGACAGGCTACTATATATTTGTATATATATATATATTTTTTAATTTCTCTATTTTAAATTTTGGCTACTACAGATGAAATTACCATAGGTTACAGTCAAGTTCTACAACAGTTTTTGGAAGGATTGTCTCCCAGCTAAGAATTCTTCGCTATGATGGGAACCATGTGTTTCTAAAGAAACTTCACGATCTGAGAATCTGTGAGGAGAAATCTCAGGCTCTGAAGCAAAAAGGAAAATAATTTACAAGTAATTCCTGTATTTTCAGGGTGTGTCGACGTCACTATTAAATTCATCTTCTAAGTTCAACAAGGGTAGATCATCTTATACCTCTTCATATTTGATGGTGGACTGTCTTCCCTATCTCTCTTCTACAAGATTTTCACTGTAGAAAGACTCACAAACTTAAATGAAATCAATGGCCAGTTGCTTTTCGATTAGCCTGTGAAGGAATAGAATGTGAAGTAATTGACCTAATTTAGGAAAATACAATCCCCACAGTTGCTGGAAAGGAGCGTGTCTGTGTTAAGACCTGGCACTGACATACGATCAGAAGCGAGAATTACTGGCAGCCAACTCTCGGGTCTCCAAATCTGCTTGCTCACAGTCAAAAGCTATCTGTAAATAAGAGATTTCGAGCTACTCCTGGAAGGGAAACAGTAACAAATGCCCAGTTCAGAACAATGGCAGTAACAGTGAAGAACTGATGGGATTTGTGTTTTATTTATTTATTCATTTTTGAAAGAAATAAGCCAAACTTCTCTGAAATGGAGAGATCAACTACCAATACATATTTATTAAACACTTACTTTTCAAAAGTAAAAGACTGAGTGATGTCCTAAAAGGGATTAGAAGTTGTATGCTTTCTACCATTGAGTAGCTTAAGTTAATTTGTAGAACTAGGGTGAACACACAATATAATTATAGTGTTAAAATATACAAACCAGTAGTACCTTAACAATCAAAATCCATTTCATGCACGGGGAAGGAAATTGAAAGAAGCAATGCAAAGGGGACCTCCACACACAAATCATAGAAAATCCTCTAGAAATGAATGTTATCAGTATAAAAACTTAGCAAAGGCTCCAGGGTGTATTACGTGCATTCACACTGTAGCATAAGAATGACATGTTTGCCAATAAATAATTATTATCACAGCTTACTGTATGATTTGCCTTTATAAATACTTTCTTATAAAACTTCAAAGCATTTCCTAAGTATGATCTCATTTATCATTCAGTTCATAATGAAAAACAATTACTGTCTCTTAGTAGATGTTCCTAAGTGCAGAGCAATAAAATAAATGTTGCTCAGTAACTTAGTAACCAGTGGAATATGAACTGAATTTCTAGGTTGAAGTTTTGTATTTTAAATTGAATACAAATTCTAGTGCAGTGCTCTGCTAAAGAGAAATAAGATACTATCTCTGGTCACTTTGGATTACAACAACCATGTTAAAATATAAGAGACAATTACTTTTGGTTTTCATCATCAATATTATCATTATGATTTAAGTACATCATTGTTCTCCGGTGGTGAATTCAGATAGTTAAGCCAGTAAGTTCCCCTTCATTACCTGTGATGATATAAACGTACATACACATACATGGTAATAAGTTAAACATAATGACATTTGATAAATACCTCTTTCAGAGCATTCCACAGTTCCTCATCAGTGTGTTCATTAAAGGGATCCAGGTTTTTCCTCATTGTTCCAGTGAATAAAACAGGTTCCTAAATGCCCAAGATAGTGTCTGTCATTACCATAAGTCACTTTTCATTTTACTCCAATGCTCACTTCAACAAACACACGCGGACAAAAGAAAACCACCAAAACTCATTGTAATCATTAATCACGAGGCTGCCAATGCCCGTTTACTAAACATCGTTATTGATTTCACATTGCACAAAGGGCACTCCAAAATATCACCCAGACCGTCCAGCACTAACAAACAATGCTGTTGCAGTATGTCAACCTCAGAAGAAAATAAAAAAGGACTTATTTTCAAAACTCAGGTTTAATCTGCCTGCTTTGTTTTCAGGTAATACCTGCTTAGATAGGAAACCCAAAGATCTAGCCATTTTAGGAACTGTCAAGAAAGCAACAAAAGCTGCCAATCCTGCTGCAACATTGGGAAATAGCAACAGCATGATTAGGTGAAGTTTATGCTTCAGAGCCAAAGTGTTAAGTATTTTCAGATTTACTCTGAACAATTAGGATAGCTTCTCCATTGGTTTACGTTCGGGACTAGGACTCTCTTCCCATGTCTGAATGCGCTCTTCTGGTCTTTGTGTGAAGATGGAATGTCATGATGCCAGTGGCACCTCTAGTCATAAAGAAATCACCTCTGGTTTCCCATCAGCTAATCCCCATGGAATCTTGTCTGTGCAACAGGGTGGCATGCCTCACAGAACCTCCTTATTAACCACAAGGGCAGCGTAACCTGAAACCCATTGTGAAGAATGTCACAATAAAATTATGTTAATTCCGATAGCTATTCCTATTCATCGACTTCACAGAAGCCTGCAGTTAAGTTGTTCTCGAAATGTATGCCTCCTTCTGGTCAAGAGAGAATTCTGTACCTAAGCTCATGTAGGCTGCATCCAAGTTTTTTACTGGAAAGTTCTCATAACATAGGCTACAGGGTGTAAGCAGCTGGGGAGAGCCCTAGCTACATTCAGTGAAGTGGCAGGACAATGAAACGGAGAGACGTGGGCAAGAAAAGACAGCCCTGGAGAACGGCTCAAGGGGATTACCACCTCACGCCTTGGCCATAGGACTGGACTGTTCTTCCTCGTTACTTAAAACCCTTGATAAAAAGGTAAGTAGGTAGACTTTTCTCAGGCCATGAAGAATGACACATAGAGACACTCCAAGCCTTTACCTATGGTCTTGGTTTTAAGACTAGCAAGGAAGAAATCGATACAGAAAGCAGATTGTGTGACACTACAAAAAAAAAAAAAAAAATACTACCCAGGTGTCTATAATAACATAGAGACACTCCAAGCCTTTACCTATGGTCTTGGTTTTAAGACTAGCAAGGAAGAAATCGATACAGAAAGCAGATTGTGTGACACTACAAAAAAAAAAAAAAAAAAAGGAAATGCTTTGGGCCAGAAGGTGGTGTAATGACTGAAATGCTGGATTCCACATAGCCAACTCTGTGGTTCAAGTCTCACACCCAGTGTCGTGAAAAACAAAACTGGGTACATGTGTATGTGTGCCTGAAATCCCAAGAGGAGAAAGAAAGAAAGAGAAGGGATAGAGGCATGGCCATCTTGCCTGGGGAGTGATTTCTTACTTTCTCTCTCCAGTGAGCACATATGCCCTAGAGCAAAAAATTCTAAAAAAAAAAAAAAAAAAGATATCCCTCATAGAATCCAGACATAAAAAAAGACTAAGCAGGCACTTTACTTGACAAAGTGAGGCCCAGTTGAAATATGCACTGCATAGCTGTGTCCCATAGGCACCAGGGAGGTCCTGGTTTCCTGGTCCAATCGAAAGACTGGGCATGACAGCATGCGTGTATAACGCCTGCCACTCAGGGCAGCTGAGACAGGAGGACTGTAAACCGGAGGCTGGCTTGGGCAACACAATGAGACCCTGTCTAAAAAAGAACCAGTCAGGGTGGCACATGCCTACCATCCCAGCTGGGGAGGTGAGGCAGGAGGATTGTGACACAGACAAAAAGAAAAAGGCAGGTGGGGAAGGAGGGAGGGAGGAAGGGAGGGAGGCAGGACAGGTGAACAGGTGGGCATTGGTCACACATTTTCTAAATCACTACTGAATACGACTAAAATGTGTTGGGACCAGACCACTGTGCATGCTCTGTGAAGGTGGACCCCTACAGAAAAGTCTTGGATTTATGTCCTGAGGTCTCCCTGGACATCCTGGATATGTACATTCATGATCAGGCTGGCTGAGTCTCGGGGGGACTGTGGCATGAAGCTCCTATTTGGGGTTCCCCTTTCTTTCTCATAGAACACACAAACATAATAGAAAACTTGAAAACTCTCGACAGCCGAAAGACTGCGGACTCAATAGGCTTCTAAGCAACAATGGATATTTCTTGTCAGTGAAACAGTCATCATTCTACTTCAGATTAAAACAAGAAAAAAATGATGTTCCTCTGTAATTATCAACTGAAAGAGCCCAGAAAGCTAGGTAATCTCTCCTCCAGTTTTTTTTTTTTTTTGAGAGGATTTTGCTATAGGGCACGTGCGCTCGCCAGACAGAGAGACAGAAAGCGAGAAATCACCCCCCAGGGGGGATGGCCACACCTCAATCCCTTCTCCTCCATCCTCCTCTCAGAATCTTGGGCACGCACGCAAATGCACCCGGCATGAGTTTAAGCCACCGGGTCCAGGACTCGAACCACGATCATAGGACTACGTGGGAGTCCAGCAACATAGCTAACAGCTGGTCCCTCCTTCAGTTGTTGATATGAGGTTTTTTTTGTTTCCACAGGTGAGGGGAGGCTGCTACCTATCCATAATACCCCCAACTTTTTATTTTAAGATGGTCTGACAATGTGCTGGCCTCAAACTCACAATCCTCCCGCTTCAACCTTGCAAGGGACTGGGTCTAAAGGCACATACCACCACACCGGACCTCGCTCTATTTTTTTGATTCTTCTCCTACTACCTTCCAAGGGTCTAAACCACAGCAGTACTTTATTCAGGGACCAAAGCTGAGAGCCCCATTGAGGCTGGATGTTTGAGGTGGTAAAGAGCTGAAAGAAGCCAGTGTAAGGAATCAGCTTTGAGCCCATCTGGAGAAGCGAGAGGTGGGCTCTTTGCTTCTATTAACGACAGATCCATTTCCTTTTTCACGACAGCTTATAGTACCTGAAGCTTTTGTTTCAGGTTCCGACCAGGGAACAAAATTAGTAGGGTTTGATAAAGTGCCCACCTGGGTTTTCAAGTATACTCTACAGACATGATAGCTACAGTTATCTATAAGAAAGTTGCTTTGCTTATGTATTATTTTTTAAAGAATTATTTTTATTTATTTAATTTTATTTGTTATTTTTATTTGACCAAAACACACACACACAGAAAGAAAGGGAAAGTGAGAAAGCAAGTCACCAGGTCCAGGACTTGAACCACAGTTGCCCACGTGGGAGTCCAACACCTCAACTACCACATTACGTGCTGGCTCCAAAGTTGCAGACTAACTGTCTTCCTTTGTTAAGTGTGTGAAAAGGTTCACATTATTGGCATGTTTGGGAATGGTGGTTTAAGTGGCTCCAAAGGACAGGTACAGAAATTTGTAATTCAAGCCCAATGCCCGAATTCATGATTAAAGTCTCTGGCCTGACACTTCCCTCACTTTCTTCCATTTCAGAAACTCCTTGAAATGGACAAATCTCTCCAAGGAGTAGAGACTAAAGTGAGATTCTTCTCAGGGCCATGAGCTGGCTGTTAGCTCTAAGCCCCTGAACAATGTCTACAGGTGCTTCACACTGAGTTTTAGCAGTGACCCCAGACCCTCAGTGGGCTGTGAAGAGGTTCTGCTAATTATCACCAATCATTGCCTTGCCAACTGTCATAAGAAGACAAAATTTAAATGTAAACACCAGTACGGGTCACCACTTAAATCTAGATTGTCAACTGAAAGGGAAAGATGAGGCAATTACTCATGTTTATTTAGCAGCATTCGATAAAAGGAATCAGTTTAATACATAAGAATTTTTTATGACATGCTGAATATATATCCCATTAATGAGTAAAATTTCAATCCAAACTTGAATAAGGAAAATGACTTAATAAAACATTAAGTGACTGAATTATACTTTTCCTTAAAACCAGCAGGCAATTTGTTAACAATGTCAGTTTTCATATGCCAATTTGTTTTATGTGTGGGTATTCATTTTGGTTTCTATTCGTTCCACTTTCATCCACTTGCCAAGTAAGAAATCAAAATATCATGTTCAAAAGGTAATAAAAGTACTCGTAAGTAGAACACAGTGCAAGAGTAGATATGGGTCAAATTCATTATTATTTTTGATACATATTATTATTCCAAGTACCCACCACCATGTAGTAAAGTTAGTAAACTAATCTTATAAATAAGTGTTGTAAAAATGCTTGCAGGCAGGACATTTCGGTATAGAGATTTACGGTAGGACATACAACCTTCATGTAAATACACAGAAAATTTATTACCTGAGTCTATTTTACCTGAAGCTAACATATTTAACTCCATTTAATAAGAGTTGTATTTTAACCTCTCTAGCTAGTTGGCCCAGGCCAGTTGGTAAAACAAACACTCTTGTTCACTGTAACATTTTAAATGGCACATTAGTATCCATGCAATTTTCATCACAGTTTAAAGCTCACACTTAAAAAATACTTTATGCCATATTCTAACACTTTTTCCTTCATTACTAATGTAACACAAGTTCCTATGAGGCAGGTGACCCAAAGATGGCCACTCTGAATTAAAGCATTTAGTGCAGTAAATTGATAATCCCTCAATACAGATGCAAGACTGAACTCTGCCATCTTACTAGGCCTTTTGTGTAACTTATTACTGGAAGACAAGTCACTCATTATCTCATGAAGAAACTCTAGCCACTAACCTTCAGACACTTAAAACGACCTGAGATGAATACAAAAACTGTATGAATAGTTAGGAACCAACAAAGAAAGCACAACACTTTCGCCCTCTTCTCTGTCAGTCCCAAATCAAGAAAGTTTCCTCTCCTAAAATGCATACTCAACAGAGGCTA